CAGTAAAGGCAGAGATTCATCTGCATATCGTCAACACGCGAACACAGGTGTGTGCATCATGTGCACACACGCACACACACACGTGCGCACACATGCACAGATGCACGCGCACACACACGTGCGCACACAGGCACCCCACTCACAGGAGGCCCGCTCGCCGTTGTTCCTGGTGTTGATGTCGCCTTTGCCCTGGCGCCCCTTGGCCCCGGTCATCTCCTCCATGCGGTAGATCTCGGACACGCACAGCTTGGGGTTGAAGGCGAAGTACATCTTCCCGGACTTGATGGTCAGGTTGTGGTGGTCCCAGTCCCACAGCTGCTGCAGGTTCTGGTTGTCCAGGACGTAGAAGGAGTAGTTCCTGCCAACACAGCGGCTGGCGTGAGCCCCCGGCTGCCCCGGCCCCCTCCGCTCCAGCCGCCGCCGGCCCCACACCTTCCCTCAGCTCCGGAGGGCACTGCCTCGGCCGTGAGAAACGGAGCCGTCGGTGGTCTATACGAACAGGTACCGTTAACAGTGGCGATCACGGGATGCGAGGGCCGTGTAATCACGTCGATACGGAGCCCTGGCCGGGGTTGCTATGTGGTTAGAGTGTCGGCGCACAGACCAAAGGGTCTCAGGCCCCGTTCCCAGTCACGGGTACATACCTGGGGTGCAGGTTCCATCCCCGGCCCTGGTTCTGGGCGGGTGTGGAGGCAACCAGTCGATACGTCTCTCTCATCATTGATGTCTCTCTCTCTTTCTTTCTCTCTCTCTCTCTCTCCCCGCCCCACCTTTCCCTTCCTGTCTGAAATCAGTAAAAATAAATTTAAAAAGCATCCGGAACCGGGAGTCTGACGCGCGAGCCACAGGCACGTGGAAAGGCTGTGTGTGGGGTGACCCTCTCTGAGAAACAAGGTGATCTGTTCGCCGCAAACACAAAGGCTGTTTACAGCACTGACAAGGCGGGGGACCGGATCCCAGGAGCCACAAAACCCAGGCATACGGAGCCGGCGTAAGGGCCAGAGAAACACCGAAAACCCTGCCACCTCATCATCAGGCTGCTCCTAAGCTGCCTGGCAATACCGCTCATTTCTCAGCCCGGGCGTGGGGCCCGGCTTCCCCCAAGCCCCTCCCATGAGAGGAGAATTCAGAGACAGTAAAGGCAGAGACTCGCCTGCACATCTTTAACACACGTGTGCACGGGCACACGCACACATGCACGTGTGCACACACACATGCACACAGGTGTTTTTTTTCATTGTTTCCTCGAGGAAGTGGCTATCCAGTCAGTTACTCAGTAAGTGCGATTTCCTCATTGTTTCAAGGCTCACTGCCTTTACATCCAAAGACTATATTTAAAAAAAAATTTTTTTAAATTGATTTCAGACAGGAAGGGAGAGGGAGAGAGAAACATCAATGATGAGAGAGAATCACGGATTGGCTGCCTCCTGGATGCCCCCTACTGGGGATCAAGCAACAGTGCAACCTGGGCATGTGCCCTGACCGGGAATCGAACCGGGGACCTCCTGGTTCATAGGTTGACGCTCTAACCGTTGAGCTACACCAGAACGCAGAACCCTCCAAGCGCACAGCCGACCCTGGGCCGAGCACGCGTGCGCAGGCAGCACTCACCCCTCCAGCTGGTCCTCGCCGAGGATCTGGCGGAGGCTCTTGAAGAAGGACAGGGAGACCAGCGCGTGGGAGTGGCGGATCTTGATGTAGCCCGTGACCACCTCGATGAGCCCCATGAAGTTCTCCAGTTCCGAGGCGATGTTATCTGCGGGAAGGGGGCGCCGCGTCACCCAGCTCTCGCTCAGCGCAAGGGGGAGCACCCGGGTTCCCACTCACACGGGAGCGACGCCGTGGCAGGGCCTGCTCTGGGGGTGACTCTGAGATGCTCAGGCTGCTGGTGCGGGAGCCCCCCCCCCACCCCCAGCAGTGAAAGGTGTGTTTGTAGGAGGCTGGACGTGGTAGCTCCCAGGCGGAGGAAAAGAAAGTAAAATCATAAATGCCATCCGCCAATTAGCTAAGGCCACGGCGTCTGGAGAGCAGCCTTTGTTTTATTTTGTTTTTCTTAAAAAACAAAACAAAACACATATTTTTATTGATTTCAGACAGGGAGGGAGAGGGAGAAAAGAGAGAGAAACATCCATGATGAGAGAGAATCATGGACCGGCTGCCTCCCGCACGCCCCCTAGTGGGGATCGAGTGCGCAACCGGGCATGCGCGCTGATGGTGAATGTAACAGTGACCTCCTGTTTCGTGGGTAGATGCTCAACCCCATGAGCCAGCGGGCTGGGCTCTGCGCTGTTTTTTCTAGGCCTGTTTTTTTAGTTGTGAGTCGGGGGACGGGGTAGAAAAGGCACCGACCCAAGAAAACCAAGAGATCCTTCATGATGCGGGGGGAGGGGGGGGTAGGGGGTCAGACCGGGGGGAAGGGAGGGGGAAGGGAGGGAGGGATACTTACTGCCCCTGCGGATGTTAATGAGCAGGTTGCCCTTGAAGATGGTGCAGCCCTGGAGCATCTGAGCCGAGGTCACCGAGTCGATGGTCTTCGTCCCCTTGTCTTCCTCACAGATTTTGGGGCACGGCCCTTCACAGGGGATGCAGTACATGCTGCGGGAGAGAAAGGAGCCCCCCCAAATGTGAGGTCAATGTCTCCTCGCCCTGAAGAGAGCCCACACGGATCCGTGTTCATTCTAGCCGGCCACGCGATCAACATCGCTGTGTGGTGGTGGTTGTTGTTTAAAATATTGGGTGTCCCAAAATTCACGCAAGAAGTAATTTTGATAGAAAACACAGGTTTATAATTAAAAATTGTACATTTTTTATTGATTCACAAAGTATACAGGATAGGGTTATGCAGGGAATAGGATATCGGGTAAACTGGATTATCATGTCTCGATAGCGAGCACCATTAACTGTTATTGCCTGAGCAGCCGCGTTTTCGAAGAAGAATGGTCCGATGCCTCCAGCCCCAAATCCGCACTAAACAGTGACATATGGATGCATTTGTTTCTCAACAATCACTCGTGGATTTTCTGAACCCCAAATGCGACAATTTTGTCGATGAACCAAGCCATCAAGATGAAAATGAGCCTCATCGCAATTCAGCCACATATATGCAAAAACGGTCATGGAAAATTTCAACAAAAGGGTGCGTATGTGCCAGCAAAGCCGTGGAGGCCATTTACCCGATGTGCTATTCCATACATCACCCTAGACTGTATACTTTACGAACCAATAAAAAATTTACAATTTTTCATTATAAACCTGTGTTTTCTATCAAAATTACTTCTTGCGTGAATTTTGGGACACCCTTTCTATTTTTAAAAATGTAACGTAGGCCCGCTCTCTCAGGTGGACCCACCCCCGTCACCTCCCCCAGGGTCCCCCCCCAAAGACGGGACAAAGGCTGGGGTCTGGGGGACCCCGGGGCCGGGAGACTGACCTCAGGCTGTCGTTGCGGATGAAGCCGGAGGGGCACTCCTGCATGCACTCGCCGTCGTGAATCACGAAGCCCTCCAGCTCGAAGCTGTCGGCGTTGGGGATGGTGGCGCAGAAGTCGCGGTCCACGCAGCGCCAGCCCTCGAAGCGGTAGGTGTTGGGGGGGCAGTCGGTCACGCAGACGCCCTCGTGGTAGTAGTGCTTGCAGGCCACGCAGGCCGCCTCGTCGTCGGGGGCCGTGCAGCCGCCCAGGCACTCGGGGTGGCAGCATTCGTTGTTCTCCGTGCACGCCCGCTTCCCGCACGCGCTCGGGCAGGCTGTGGGCAGAAGGGACAGGGTGAGCATGTTGATTTTTTTTAAAAAAAAATAGATTTTTATTGATTTCAGAGAGGAAGGGAGAGGGAGAGAGAGAGAGAGATACATCCATGATGAGAGAGAATCATGGATCTGCTGCCTCCTGCACGCCCCCTACTGGGGATCGAGCCCGCAACCCGGGCACGTGCCCCTGACCGGGAATCGAACCTGGGACCCCTCAGTCCACAGGCTGATGCTCTATCCACTGAGCCAAACCATCTAGGGTGGGGTTTCCTCTTTTAAATATTAAAAAAAGGGGGGCGCTACCCGGTTTGCCTCACTGGATCACAGGTGCGCACCTACACCCTCTTTACTCACTGAGCTACTGCACACAGCCTCCCAGGACATTCTCCAGCGCCAATGACAAGGCCCCGTGTGACAGTCAGGGTCCCCGCTAAGATGCAACATTGTAGCCGCAGCTCGCTCCATAGATACATTCTCCGGGGCAGACACAACTATGTATAAGGAAATGGCTGCGCCACCAGGCGGCCGGAGCAACTAAACCGGCGGTTCTCAACCTGTGGGCCGCGACCCCTTTGGCGGTCGAACGACCCTTTCACAGGGGTCGCCTAAGACCATCCTGCATATCAGGTATTGACATGACGATTCATCACAGTAGCAACATGACAGTTAGGAAGTAGCCACGAAAATAATTTTACGGTTGGGTCACCACATGGGGAACTGTATTGAAAGGGCCAGAAGGTTGAGAACCACTGAGTTATTAACTAGATGGAGCAACTGGACGCAGGGAGACTCCAAGGCCCCCAGAACCCGTCCCCCCAAACAAGTCTGATTCCCGAGACCAAGTCTGATTCACACTCGTCACCGGTACAGAGAGGAGGCCGAGGGGTGCAGGGAAACGGGTCATGATGGCTCCTGAATGCCTCCGCGAACGTTTCATTAGCCAACAAAGGCAACAGTCACCTCCAAACAATACCGGTCGCACGGCTTCCGTCTCTCCCGGACCCGACAGGCGGTGCTGGGCAGACTACTGAGAGGACGGGGAAGAAAGAAGGGCCCCCCCCCCAGGAAAGCAGGGGAGGGGAGCAAGTTACAATGGCAACAGTATCAAGTAAAAATTTCAAGAGCTCATTAGTGAGAGGGGAGAAAAGGCTGCCACCGGCGCCAAGATACAAAGCAGGCTCGCCACCCGCGGGGAACGTAGGGAGGGTCAGAATCCTCCGGCGGGGCTGTGGGTTATGGTTTTTTTTAACCCATTTTATTTTATTATAAAAATATTTTTATTATCAGAGAGGAAGGGAGAGGGTGAGAGAGAGAGAAACATCAATGATGAAAGAGAATCATGGATCAGCCTCCTGCACGCACGCCCCACACTGGGGATTGAGCCCGCAACCCGGGCATGTGCCCTGACCGGGAATGGAACCCGTGACCTCCTGGTTCCTAGGTCGATGCTCAACCACTGAGCCATGCGGGCCGGGCTAGACAAGATTTAATGGGAGAAAAAAAATCAAGAAAAAGGAGGGGAGACAGTTCCCCGGACCAGGCAGGACCCACCTGCTCTAGTGAAGTGTGATGGGGGCGGCCTGTGTCCAGTTCTTCACCAGGGACGCACAGGTGTCTCCCACACAACTCACACCCCCTCATCCTGCTTTTAAAATTTTATTATTATTGCCGAAACCGGTTTGGCTCAGTGGATAGAGCGTCGGCTTGCGGACTGGAGGGTCCCAGGTCCGATTCCAGTCAAGGGCATGTACCTGGGTTGCGGGCACATCCCCAGTAGGAGATGTGCAGGAGGCAGCTGATCGATGTTTCTCTCATCGATGTTTCTCTCTATCTCTCTCCCTTCCTCTCTGTAAGAAATCAATAAAATATATTTTAAAAAATTTATTATTATTATTATCTTGTAGTATTTCTCAAGAAGAAGAGAAGGAGGAGGAAGAGAGAGAGAAAGAAAGGAGAAAGATCCCCATAGATTCTGCTGCACCTTCCCCAGCGTTGCGACCGCCAGGCACGGCCACATAAAGACGCCCGTCGCCTGTCACAGATGCTCACATGGCCAGGGCGGAGAGGGAAAAAAAAAATATCCTTTTCACACACTTCAAAATTACTCCAAGTTATTTTAGATCGGGAACTGTTTGTATATTCCTTATAAGTTTATGAAACGCGCACTGTCCCTCCATGACTAAGGGCGGAGGAATTGGGAGAGGAGTCTATATTTATCGCTTGTCTGAGGCTCCGAGCTCGCGGCCCTGGTTCCACTCTCTGTTACTGTACACGGAGCTATGCGAGGCCCCGCGGGCTCCGCGGCAGTGTCGCCGATTTCCTAACAAGGCAGGCCCGGGCCCCGCAGGGACACACACACACCGGGGGGCTCGCGTTCAAGTGCAAGCTCGGCTCCGAGGGCGAGAGAGGCCTCTGGCTTTGTGGTTGCGGCTGCATCTCAACACCGGTGCTGGGGCCCGTTTCTGGACAGTGACACGCCTTCCTGGTATCGACCCAGGTATCCACGCCGCTGATAGATGCCTACTGTATACATCCAGGCTATCCAGTGGGAGTCGCAAAGAACTCTCCTCCTTCTTACTTTTTAAAATATACTTTTATTGGTTTCAGAGAGAGGGAGGAAGAAGGGGAGAGAGAGAGAAACATTCATGATGAGAGAGAATCATGGACCGGCTGCCTCCTGCACGCCCCCTACTGGGGATGGAGCCTGCAACCCGGGCATGTGCCCGGACCGGGAATCGAACCGTGACCTCCTGGTTCATAGGTCAACGCTCAACCACTGAGCCACACCGGCCGGGCCATGGTACGTTCTTTGCTACAGCCTTGAGCTTAGCCTTGAGAGTGGCACATCTTTGTGAAAAGAAGGAAAAAATGGCCAGTAGCCCCATTTCTCTCTTCTCCAACGTCAGAAGGGGAAATAGAGAGCTCGTCTCAATTCTGTGACTGCTAGTGAGGCTGGGGGTCCCCACCACCCACATTTTTTTTAAAAAAAAATCACTTGTGGTCCCTTTACATGTCTCTTAGTGTCTTTGCTCCATTTTCTTCTTGGGAGCTTAAGTTTTTACTGCATGTTTTGATTTTTTTAAAGCCCTTAAAGATGAACATGCTTTTTAGAAATAGCATCTAGTATGTGCCCTGAAAGTATTTGTCTTGTCCGGCTCAGTGGTGGAGCGTCAACCTATGAACCAGGAGGTCACGGTTCCATTCCCGGTCAGGGCACATACCCGGGTTGTGGGCTTGATCCCCAGTAGGGGGCGTGCAGGAGGCAGCCGATCCATGATTCTCTCTCATCATGGATGTTTCTCTCTCTCTCTCTCCCTCTCCCTTCCTCTCTGAAATCAATAAGGTAAATAAATAAAAGTGTCTGTCTTAGGTGGCCTGAGAGAAAGAATACACACCTCCTCCCCCTGTTCCTGTGACGAAGGAGAGGCGTGGACAGCAGTGAGTACACACCAGGAAACTCATTTACTGCCCTCCCGGCCTCCCTGGTCATCCCTGCTTTGATCGTGTTCCTTCCTGATGGCACACGTCTGGGCGGGGAAACACGTACTTCAGAGCATAAAGTCACCGTGCGCCTTTCCGTTACCTAATCTGATGGCGGCCCTGCTTCCTGAGGTTGGAGCCTCTGTGCGGCTGTGGGGAAACCGCAAAAGACCGCCAGGCGTTTGTGTCCAGGGCGAGTCAGCTCTGTCCTCAGGGCACGGCGGGAGCAGGGTGTCTTGGGTGGCCACAGAATGATGGCGACGCCAACCCCAGGAGAAGCAGGTTTGGGGGAGCTGGGCCGTGGTGCGCCTGCCCCCACAAAAATGCAACAGAGTTCATCTGTCTGATGAGTCACAGGGCCCCGGGAAAACCATACACGTGCGGGAGGTTAACTAGCTGTCCTTGCAAAGATGAGTGCGAAAACGAAAAACAAAAAACAGCCCTAACCGGTTTGGCTCAGTGGATAGAGCGTCGGCCTGCGGACTGAAGGGTCCCGGGTTCGATTCCGGTCAAGGGCATGTACCTGGGTTGCAGGCACATCCCCTGTAGGGAGTGTGCAGGAAGCAGCTGATCGATGTTTCTAACTCTCTATCCCTCTCCCTTCCTCTCTGTAAAAAAATCAATAAAATATATTAAAAAGACAAAACCTGCCATTCCCATGGAAGCCTGTTGCTTTGTATTTCGTTTTTGTGCGTGATGGAGGCATTGCATTGGATAAGCATGTTATTGATTCTTTTTTTTAAAAAATATTTTTATTAATTTCAGAGAGGAAGGGAGAGGGAGAGAGACAGATAGAAACATCAGTGCTGAGAGAGAATCATGGATCGGCTGCCTCCTGTACGCCCCCTACTGGGGATCGAGCCCACAACCTGGGCATGTGTCCTGACCGGGAATCGAACCCTGACCTCCTGAGGTTATTTTTTCCATTTTATTTTTTTAAGAGAGAGTAGAATGGAGGGGGTGAGACACACAGAGAGAAACATTGATGTGAAATAGACACATCGATTGGTTGCCTCCCACACGTGCCCCTGAAACGGAGGTACGTGCTCTTGACCTGACTCACACCTGCAGGCCCTTCAGTCCACCGGCTGACACTCTAACCACTGAGCCAAACCGGCTAGGGCCTAGGCTAACTTCTTAGTCCTTTCCGTAAACACTGTCAAACCCCAAACTAGCCAAGTCACTTAAAAATAAAAATAAACATTTCAAAAGGGGGGGGGGGCTCTCCAGCATCAATCTCTTCTTCAAACATCTTATCCAAAATCCTGGACTTGCAGACACTGAAAAGAAGAATCTGGAAAGGTCTGAGGCAGCGGTTCTCAACCTGTGGGTCGCGACCCCTTTGGCAGTCGAACGACCCTTTCACAGGGGTCGCCTAAGACCATCGGAAAACACATAGATAATTACATATTGTTTTTGTGATTCATCACTGTGCTTTAATGATGTTCAATTTGTAACCATGAAAATACATCCTGCATATCAGATATGTACATGACGATTCATAACAGTAGCAAAATGACAGTTATAAAGTAGCAACGAAAATAATT